CCCCCCCACACACACACACACAAGAAAAAGTTATTTGCTATTCAAGCTAGCTTAAGTTCTTTACTTACAGGTGGTACCTACTGGAGGTATTATTCCTCTTGCTGATGCAGAAATACAGAGTAGTGGTGCAAAAGCGGCTTCTTGTGCTCAATTAGCTTTGCTGGCATCTTCTTCTGCTAAAGGTAGGGTTGGTTCTTTTCAGGACAATCCTCTGATAATAACATCAGTACTGTTATTATTTTGTTCTTAGTTGCTATAGCTAAAATGTCTGTTCTGTAACACCAGATGAGTATTTTTTTTATATGAACATTTCACTTAAATGTTCATTCTCCCTTTCTATTCTTGATTTCTTTTTTCTTTTTCCTGTTACAAATTGTGTCCCTTGCCTTTCCTATAGATCAAGCATAATGATTAATCTTATAATAAGGGATAAAAGATAAATTTAACTATGCTTGTTATCCATAGCGTACTCGCGATATAGGTAATTGGGATTTAATTTTTGTGTTTAGCTTATCGTAGCATAATTTATGGATGCCGTTGGTGCAACATAGATGCCTTTGCCTCATTTTTATGCTTTTTTCTTTTTTTCTTTTTTGTCTGATGAACTATCTGATAACAGTTTATAGTGACCAAGGGGTGCCAGCTTCATTTAAGGTCCCTGCTGGAGCAGTACTTCCATTTGGTTCTATGGAAATGGCATTAGAAACGAACAAGTTAACGGGGACCTTCACATTGCTTGTCGAACAGATAGAAACAGCTCAAATCGATGGTGGTGAACTTGATAAACACTGTGATGATCTCCAGAAGTTAATATCTTCTCTACTGCCTGGACAAGATGTCATTGAAAGTTTGGGAAAATTATTCTCGGGTAATGCACGTTTAATAGTGCGTTCAAGTGCTAATGTTGAGGATTTGGCGGGGATGTCAGCAGCTGGACTTTACGATTCAATTCCTAATGTTAGCCCTTCAGATCCGATAAGGTTTGGACATGCTGTAGCCCGCGTTTGGGCCTCATTGTATACTAGAAGAGCAGTACTGAGCCGTAGAGCTGCTGGTGTGCTCCAGAAAGATGCTACAATGGCCGTGCTAGTGCAAGAAATGCTTTCACCGGATTTATCTTTTGTCCTCCACACTCTTAGCCCAACTGACAACAATCATAACTTCGTTGAGGCTGAGATTGCACCTGGACTTGGTGAAACACTCGCTTCAGGAACGAGGGGTACACCATGGCGTCTGTCTAGTGGTAAATTTGATGACACAGTCCGCACACTGGCATTCGCCAACTTTAGTAAGGAGATGGTTGTAGGTGGAAATACTCCTGCTGACGGAGAAGTTATTCATTTGACCGTGGATTATAGCAAGAAACCTTTAACAATCGACCCCATTTTCAGGCGTCAACTTGGTCAGAGGCTTGGCGCTGTTGGTTTCTACCTAGAACGTAAATTTGGTTCTCCTCAAGACGTTGAAGGATGTTTGGTTGGTAACGAGATTTTCATCGTGCAATCACGGCCCCAACCCCAGTGAGAGCCTGTTTTTTGCACTGAACTTACCTCATAACAGTGTATGTATAATTCAGCATCTCTTTGAGATGTACATAGTTGATTAAAGAAGCAAGCTTATACTAGTCTTATAGAAGTAGTTTAAGGTGAATATTCTCCCTCAGATTGTGCAAATCTGCTGTACTGGCTGTGACCTTACATTCATGTTATTCTAGACATTAATAAAGTCACTCATATATTACTAAGCTTCTTTGACTTTATCCACTGAAACTAATGATGCCAGTGGTCTCTGGCCATTTCCTTCTGCATTTTTTCTTATCTCAGCCACTTAGATAAAAAAAAATGCAGGACTGCATACCAGTGGTCTCTGTCTACTTTTGGTAGCAAGTTTTGTCGCCAGAAATTGTTCATTTTGTAGCGATTTCCAGTGTCCTCACAACAAACATTCAGGACCAAAAGTACTTCCCAATTACTTATCATTTCACTACTAATTGAAATAATAACAGAAAATAGAAAAAAAAAAGTGACTAAATTATTTGTAATCCTTCTAATAGTCAAATATTTTATTATAAGAAATTTGATTAGTCGAAACGACTACCGCAAGTCAAGTGATTTTTCAAGTGAATATACGCACAGGCAAGTACTTTTGTATTATAAGCAAAACAAACATGAGTTTACTAGATAGTTGAATAATCATTTGAGTAATGGACTCATTTAAGTACTTTTGATATGTGCAAAACAAAAATTCTTTCTTCCTTATATTCCGTGTCCGATCAAACGTTTGTCGTATAACTGAAATTGAGAATGAGATACCCAGGACATGACCCTAGACAAGAAGTTGTAGAGGTCTAGCATTAAGGTCGTGGGTTAGGAGCAGGGACGGATGCAACATACATCTACCGGGTTCAACTGAACCCAGTACTTTCGACGCGAAACATAAATTTATATGTAAAAATTAATAAATTTATAATAAACAGTAGATATGAACCCATAACTTTAAAATATAATGGGTTCAATGCTAAAAACTTTAAATGTTAAACCCGTAGAATTAAAATCCTAGATTCGCCTCTGGTTAGGAGGTAGTTGTGCATATTTCTACGGCGCACCAGAGTGAGGCTAGTCTATTAGGATTTTGTTTTAGACTGCTAGTGGTTAATATTGAGTTCACATTAGTGAGATTTCACTGGGTCGTTGTTGTTGTATAGGGACTATCTCCATACTATATTCTCGCTTTATGACTTCAATATAATTAGTCGTCTTTCTTTATTAAAAAGAAAAGAAAAGAAAAGAATATTAGTACACTCTATTTAACAAGGAAAGTGAATTTGTTATTTCCATAATTCCATCTATTGAATATATTATCAAGTACTATAAATTTCGACAAGAACAGAGGAATATCTGGAAAAGAGAAGAAATCCTTTACTCTTAGCTGAATAAATTGTTAATAAATTCAAAAAGCTGAATCTGATGCTGAAGTCCAATTTTTCTTTTTATGTTTTCCACAAATAATTTTACTTTATTTACTTTAAAACAAGAAAGCAAATGCATCTCCAGTGGTAAATGGGGTAAGTAGCTTTTCTTTTTGTTATTCCAAAGAACTAAACTTAAGCAACTTATTCACTGGTCCAATATTCTAAATTACCCCTGACCTGAGGAGGAAGTTATTTCATGGACGATTATTCAACTTTTATTTTATTGTATCACAATTATAAAACTAATTTTCGTAAGAAAAAGCTAACAAAACTATATATATATATATATATATATATATATATATATATATATATATATATATAACAAGTTGCTAGGTTGCCACTCTAACAACTTATTTTACATAATATCCATGCGACATCAAAGCCGACCTAGGATTTGAAGGTAGCGGGGCACATAAGCAGACTGCTAAACTAGTGCCTCATCGGCTGGGGTGGATCCGGGATTTTAATTCTATCGGTTCAACTTTTAAATTTTTAGCATTGAACTCATTGTAATTTTTAAAGCTATGCGTTCATATCTACTATTTTTGTAATTTTTAAGAATTTTTGTATATAAACCTTTACTCCACGTCAAAAGTTCGAAATAATATATATAATTTGCTGAAGTTAACTGGTTCGATGATCCTTCTTCTCAGTACATAGGTCCGCCTCCGCGTGACGCCACCTAGAAAAAAAAAAAGAAGGACAAAACTCATCTTCCGACCCACTTAAAAAAATAATGCTAATGATGCGTCAAATGGTAAAAGACATGAGGGTATTAGGTTGGATCGGAGAATGAGGTTTTTTCTTATTCTTTTAATTAGTTCACCTCAATATTATGTAAGGTGAGTTGTCAACGTCCTAATACAATTGCGTGACATTTTTATATACGTGATAAGTTACTTGCGTTATTTGAGACCAATCTTACCTTTTTCGGTCTTTATTTCTATAGTATATGGATATAATAATTGAGTTATATCTATAGCCGAGAATTAGGGTATAATGTTAGTAAATAGTTGAGTGTGTGTCTTCCCCATACCAGTAGAATTAGTTGTTAGCCTTGTATTCGGTTATTGGTAATCTTTATTACTACATATTTTCTTATTATCTTGTTGTTGTTATTGCTGGTTGTTAGCAGGGGCGGATCTATGTATGGAGTTGGGGGTGGTACGCCACCCGATCACTCGGATAAAATCTTTTATGTGTACTAGTATTTTCCTCACATATCCTACATAATAAATAAGTGGCACCCCAATACACAAAATGAATGTAGGTGCTAGGTGCCATGGTTGTAGTGTCGAAATTCCCTGTTAAAGACCCAAGATCCAGACTCTCTGGAATTTGTGTCCTTGTTATTCCTTTTGTTACTTTATCCCTTTTCTTTATGCTCTTTTTGTTAATTTTTCTTATTTTCTTCATCTTTATTATTCATTTTTTGTGCAATCTCATTTGTATTATTTTTTTATATTGTTTATTTTCTTCCTTTGTCTTTTTTCTAGATTTCAAATTTTATTTGAATGTAATTTTAATTATTTTCTCTTTATCCATATTTTGTTATTATATTAATTTTAGAGATTTTTTAGAGTGATACATCAAAGACATAATGTGGTATTAATCAACTACATGTAAATTAAAGGGGCATATGATATATTCGTTTAGGCATATTTTTTAAAAAAAATTGGATTGAATAAATTCAAAATGTACCAAACCGAACCGAAATAATCCAAAACAGATCGAACCGACTACATGTACTCCCTAATATAATTTTTTTCGCTAGTGGTCCGTTTGCATTAAATAGTGGCACCCATAGCTATCAAATTCTGGATCCGTCTCTGGTTGTTACTACTTTCTTTTTTCTTTGCTTGAGCCGGGGGTCTATTGGAAATAACCTCTCTATCCTCAAGGAAGGGGTAAGGTCTACATACATGCTACCCTCCCCAGATCCCACTCGTGAAATTATACTGGATTTGTTGTTATTGTTTTCCGTTACTCACCGGCCATGATGTAATAAATTAAAAGTTAAATGGCATCATTTAGCATCACTTTTGAAAATCTTATTCCAATCTTTCCACATTATACACGTTGGTGGATATACTTGCAGTGCAGTCTACTACTTGTTTCCCTAGGGGAGGAAATATATATATATATAAACAAAACACTAAATAATTGGTACAAAGTGTAGCCCAATTTCAATAATCATATATGCTCACCACCAAAAAAAATAAAAATAAACTAGAATGCAGAGCAACTTCAGTGCCAAAGCAAATTGCAGATCAGAAGCTTACAGAGCTGCATCAGGAGAGCAATCTCTCGAATTTTTACGCTATTTTTGGAGAGAAGAAGGCGTCGCACCGATTGATAATCGTGGCGAAACCATCCTTCACTTTCTTGCAATACACGGTAACGTTGCTGGTCTTGAAATTCTTGATCCGTTAAACATTAAAGATCTGGAAATTACGAATAGCAGTGGAGATACGCCGTTGCATGAAGCTGTTAGATTTGGTAAAAAGGATATGGTAGAGATGATTTTGAGAAAGGAGAAGGACTTAATTTTTCTGCGCAATAAATTAGGTGAGTAGAGGCGGAGGTAGAAGTCCAGATACAGATTCGAATTCAGTAATTTTTGTTCAAACAGTGTATTTATGTTGAGAAATCCATCAATTATGTACATATATTAAATTTAGAAGTCAGTTATTAGTACTTGAAGTCATAGTTTTAAAATTTAAAACTCGTAAAGTTGAAATCCTGATTCCGCTTCTATAGGTGAGACACCACTTTACGTAGCGGCTGCAAGTGGGGAGAAGGAAATTTTTACTTTTCTGGCAAATTACGATTTCACTAAGCTCACCATGAGGAGAAATGATGGTAAAACTGTTCTTCATGCAGCAGTAGACCATTATTTTTATGGTAAGCTTTATATCGATAAACATATTGTTTTCTTACATTCATTTATTTGTATTTTTAACTATGTGAATCTTGATTCGACTCGTCCAAAATTTACTTCAATCAAAGTCAGAGGCGGACCTAAGTTGATGGTTGAGGGGTCAAGGGACCCCGTTAGCCTCGACAAAAACCATGTATATTTATCTTATATATATCTATGCATATAGCCGGGACCCCTTAAATAATATTCGTGTGCCCAGATTGGAGGAGTGGTTTTCTGGGGCGCTTAAATTTTCAGCTTTGCTAGATGTCGTGGTTTCCAATCCCATTTTCACCACTTTCTCCTCACCTTTTTATTATACCTCTTTTGAATTCAACTAATTTGTATTTAATACCAAACTTCTTCACTTTTTACTTTTATCTTTTTTTGAANTTTGCTAGAGGTCGTGGGTTCCAATCCCATTTTCACCACTTTCTCCTCACCTTTTTATTATACCTCTTTTGAATTCAACTAATTTGTATTTAATACCAAACTTCTTCACTTTTTACTTTTATCTTTTTTTTTTTAATTCAATTATAGTTTAGTTTTAATATATAATAGTCAACTTACTTAATTTTATTCCTTTTCAAATCCCTCCCTTAAAATTAAAAGCCTCAAATTGTAATTTATCGCGCTTCGGAAGTAGAAAAATACAAATCCTTCTGCCACAACTTTCTTCAACAATCACTTTGACAAAGTAGCGGATATCCGTCAACTCTAACTCGGCAATGACATCTAATTAAGAGTTTGAGGCTTTTCTTCAGTTCTTTGACTATTAGCACACCCTTAATCTTGATTTCTTTAGTAAGTTTCTTTGATAATTTTTGAAGTTTGAACACCCTTTTGATCATAGAC